CCATTGTTGGAACGTAGTGTTACCGAAACGCACTGGCTTTTCTATATATTAAAAGTTGTTAATCTAACTAACTTTTACCAATAGTAATTCTGTGAATACGCCTCGAATTCATTTCATGATTGATCTTAATTTTGGTTTGGCTCACAAGGAACTTATCGACGTTTGTCTACCTCGACTGTACTTTTCTGCCTCTTTGTTGGTTGATTTAGCAAAATTTATCTATTTCAGTTAGCTATTAAATGTGAGGTGACGGTATACTATGGGGTGGGGTGATAGTACTGACCCCGTCATTGTTGACTGGCTATACGCTAGTGTACTATATACAGACGAAAAGCTGTCCGTCTGTCACGCCGATAACTCGACCGTTGCTGTATCGATCGACACGCAACTTGCACGAAACGACGGCGCTTCCTACCGCGACAAGCTTGTCTTTTTCAAATTCTTTCAGCCATATATATACTTTGGGCACATAATTAGATTTGAGAGTAGGTTGGTAGAAATCGTGATGTGTAATAAAATCGAATCGGGTATACCGCGTCCCACGCTAGCGAACAAAAAATCATAATCGTTGGCTGAAATTCCCCATTACGTTTGCTTGATTGTCAAGGAGACACATTGAGGCAACATCACCAAATTTTATCCAATCAGAAAGCTCAGCTACAACTTTATAATAACCCGCATGTTTTACCCGCAGCACATACCAATTTTGAAAATACCGAAATTAAAGTGCGCTTCTTCAGTTCAGCAGGCTAACAAAGCCACAACCAGTATAGTCCAAAGAGAAGGACCCGCAGAGGCATAGGAACCGGAGATGCTAGGGGTGCTTTAGCATACTTGACTTAAATAGCAACTGTAAATTATATCATTATATTAATTTCCTGGAGAGCATGCCCCAGACCTCACCCCTAGATTAAGCTGCCTTTGGCAGCACGGGAGTTGCTTTGTATCAAGAAGAAAACTTGAACCTAACTTCAAAATATACAGATGTCAAAAGATTAATCAAGCAATACTTAAAGGAGATGACCAAATATACATAAAAAAATGCTGTTTTTGTGAAATACTAGAAACAGGAAACCATTTTCTATAATATGTTGTTACAAAGTTATAATTAATTTTTAGAAAACATGTTCATAAAGCATTTATTTATATATATCATTTTGAGAAGAAAATTGATCATTATTTCCCGTCATATAATGGGCATTCAGCTTGTCTTTAATATATTCGTAAAATTTAGGACTTTGGTTCATTCTTTTGTTGTGTAGCATTAATGAAAGCTCTGGTGAATGAATAAACGGGTAGTTTTAATAAGTGTTTGTTGTATAGCAGCTCACCTTGATTTAATGACTGGTGTAGTGAAATGTACAGACAGTGTTTGTAATAATTTGTTTTATAAGGTAACATTTCACTTTGTTATGATAATAGCTCGTGGGAAAGGACTTAGGTTTTAAGAAATGTTTGCTTTAAAATGTAACATTTTAATTGTTGTAATTAAAACGATAGTTAGATACTCAGTTTGTGCTATATGCCATGCTTTAACACAATATCGTTTGAATGTTACTTTTAGTAAAACATGAGAAGAGTTTCTATACAGTCTGTTTTATGATATAATACTGCATTCTATTGTAATGTGAGTTGTGATGTGGTGATCCGAGAATATCTTTTGTGTTTATTTTGTATGGCAACATTTCATATTATCATGGTGAGATATCCAGATAATTCTGAGATTCTATTTTATATGGCAACGTTTTTCTTTGTTATAATAACTCGTGTAAGATGACCATTTAGTTAAATCAGTACTTATATAAAATATTTTAATGAAAACTGTGGTACAATTATTAGAGTTTTTTTGCAGAGGTTTTGTTATATAAATTAAACTTTCACAATGTTCTACGAACAGCTATTGTGATATTCTAGGAAAATGTCTATATTGTATATTTTGTTGAACTAGTGCTCCTAGTTACATGATTAGAGAGATACTACAGTGTTTCTTTTGTAGATTAATATTTCATTGTGTTGTAATTGTTGCTCTGGTTACATAACTGAGGAGTTTCTAGTGTTTGTTTTGTTGTTTAATATTTCATTCTGTTGTAATTGTTGCTCTGGTTACATAACTGAGGAGTTTCTAGTGTTTGCTTTGTTGTTTAATATTTCATTCTGTTGTACTTGTTGCTCTGGTTACATAACTGAGGAGTTTCTAGTGTTTGTTTTGTTGTTTAATATTTCATTCTGTTGTACTTGTTGCTCTGGTTACATAACTGAGGAGTTTCTAGTGTTTGTTTTGTTGTTTAATATTTCATTTTATTATAATTGTTGTTCTGGTTACATGACTGGGGAGTTGCTACTGTTTGTTTTGTAGTTTAATATTTAATTTTGTTGTAATAATAGTTTTGGTTACATAACGGGGAATTATTACAGTATTTGTTTTGTACTATAATATGGTATTATACGCTTTTTGGTAAAAACACACACACACAAAAACAACAATCTGTAATGCTTGAAAAAAAGCCTAAAAGTAAAATTTTCGTTTCAGACTGTTAAAGGCGAAGGGCCAGACATACATCTTGTAGGGCTAAAAGAGATGGCTAAATCTGCTGGACACCTGCCTGCCTTATTCCTAGACAGATCTTATCAAGAATTTATGAATTTCAGACTATCAACAAGTCAGGTAAGTAAGTGCCTTGATATTATGTCCAAAGCATGTTATTCAATGTTATCAAATATTATTCAATGTTATTAAAATGATATTATATTTAAAAACAAATTATTAAAATCACCAAAATCAGGTAATTTATGCCCAATTTCACCAAAATAGCTATTTTCAAAAGAGCACCGTAGAAAGTTGTTGTATTGAAATCTAATGATGTTATAGCGTCAACTAGTAAGTTAGCGTTGCAGAATTTGTTCACATTATAAGAAAAATGTATTTCTAAAAAGTTTAGCTATTTATTTAATTGTTTGTTGTCAAGTGCAAAGCTACACTACACAGTGGGCTATCTGTGCTATGCGCACTAGGGGTATCGAAAACCGATTTTTAGCGTTAGAGCCCTCAGTCTTAAAAGTTAACCCACTGATAGACTTAAGTGTTTTTACTTTGTTTATCTGTTTAGTAGGAAATGCTCTAATTCATATTATAAGGTTTTGTGAAAAATAGTGACACAATCCAAATCACAGGAGGTCTTCCCATCTTTTGATCAGCACGACTCCCTCCTCACTTATCAAAATTATATTTATAACCTCATATACTAAAGTAACAATTTTTAAAAATTAAAATGTAACATAACTAGTATTTAATTTTTTGATTATCGTAAAAATGAAAATTATTAATATTTTGTTTCGTTCCGAATCGCGACCCACAGTTTGGGTAAAACTATTTAAACATCAGGCATTTTAAATTCTGTATATTTTTAAGTTATGTTCAAAATTTCTTCATGATAAATTCTTATAGATTGAACCATGAATAAAATTTCTTGTAAAACACCTTTTCCTACTTAGTCAACTGTATGACCCTGTGACGTTTTATTATGAATTTCGGGGAAGTGGTGTAGGAAGGAGTTGCAAACTGGGGGTGTTTGGCTAGACATGCAAGTTTTACTATAAGAGATTGAAAATATGAGGTGCTGCTAACAGCAACTCCTGTACTACCAACGGAAGTTCAATCTAGGGGTTTCTGGGGAATGCCCCTCCCCGGAAAATTAATATGATAATATAACTTACAGTTGCTATACAAGTCAAATATGGAAAAATGGGAGTGATATAGCACCCCCAGCACCCTGTTTCCAACGCCTCTGCGGGGCTTTCTCTCTTGATTGTCTACCTAGTTGTGGCTATCTTATCCTGCCGAGCTGTTGAAGAACGCTTTACTTTCGGCATTTGAAATGTGCTGCATGTAAAACATACGGGTTATTATAGAGCTGTTCCGATTGGGCAAAATTAGGTGATGTTGGGTCAGTGTGCTTCCTTGATAACCAAGCAAACATAATGGTGAATTTCAGCCAATGGTTATGAGTTTCGTGTGCCAGTAATACCAAACATGGAATTCGCGTATACCCAATTCGATTTTATTATTCATAACAATTTCTGTCAACCTATCCTCAAATCTAATTATGTGCCCAAAGTAGCGCAACGTTCATTTACAGCGTTGCAATATATAACGTAGCTTACAGGAATGAGTAAAAGCCTCATTAACACAAGTTACAACAACAAGATACATAATATGTATAAATCCCAGTGTCAGTCTGTGTGAAACGCATCATATATATCGTTACCAGACAATAAATGGCGCTATAAAACTTCATTCTTGGTGTTTTTCACCTTTTCAAAAAAAATTCCAGATTTTTTTTATGAAATGTTATACCTTTATAGACTTGCCCTTGACCCTTCAATTCTTTTCATCAGCAATCACAATTAATAAGTCACAGAATCATACATTTTACCATGTAGGAATATGTCTTCCAGAACCAGTTTTTTTTTCACATGGTCAACTCTATAGCGCTTTATCAAGAAGCAGATTTGAACATAACATTAAAAGATACACAAGTCCAAATTTTAAACAAGGACAATGAAAATGTGTTAATAAAATGATTATCTAGAACAAATTTTCCGAAGCAAAATAAATACTTACCGTCATATGACGCCATTCAGCTAGTTTACTAATACTTCTTATTTGACAAAACAAAATAGAAAAAACGTGATATAAAATTATAGTATGTTTATTACTGTTTTTGCACTTTTCCTTAACCAAAGTTCCTAATAGAACTGTATTTTACAATTTTCAAACACCTCAAGTTTAGAAATATATATAAATTATTAGAACTCCACTCCATCATAAGATCTTAATGATATCAGAAAGATAAAGGAATAATTTCAAACAGTGTGTCAACTTCTGTTTAACCTATCTGTAAAATGAACTTACCAAACCACTGATGTTTGTCCAATTTTCTTGTATTCGCTACCACATGTATACACAGTGGTGCACCTAAGTGCTGATTTGAAACATTTGGATCTTACTCTAAAACACAATGTTTTAGGTGTAATGGATGAGCTCATAACATAATTCAGAAGCTTCGGGTAGTGTGATCCACAGTGACAGATAAACTCCTATTTTATTCGAGCCTCAGTCAGTTTGGCTCGGCAGTACAAGCACGGCCAACCTATTCTTTCACCAGATATGGCCAGCCTAGTAAGATACGTTAAGTGTGTGCTGCTTCTGAGAGCTGATTGGAAAGGAGGAAGAGAGAGAAGCCTTTCTTAGTGAATAGGTACTTTTTTTCACCCACCTTATCAAGGATACTTGTACATTCGTAAGGAAATTTATATATCGTTCCAGAATGGCCATGCTTTCTTATATCACTTCACTAGGCACGCTGGCTAGTTTCTTAATGGCTTGAATGACACCAGGAAATATTATACAAGCATCTCAGGTCATTTTTCTCCACACCCTAGAATTGTTGACACTGAATTATATTCCTTAGAGGTATGGAAGAGAGAAAGTGCTTTAGCTTTATTGTGAGCCAATGTTCTTGCAAACTCATGAGCATCAAGATAAAGGAAATTATTTCCAATGCCAATAGCAATCAAAACTCATGTACAGTAACCTCTATTGTGTAAGCTATTACTAGTACAACAAAATTTATATCTACTGTATGGATTCTCATTTTGCTGTGTCTTTTGCTCCCTGCATCTACATCATGCACAAGCATTCTGTTGTCTGGCTCTTCATGAGAACCGGGGACAAGCTATGAGATATCCTCTTGTGCTGGAGAACAATGTACACGATGATCTTCTGTGGCAATAATCATCTTACCAGCGGTTTGAATTTCAGTTGTCTGTTATAAGAAAAACCTGAACCTGATTGTTCTCATCATGAAGGAAACCTTGTCAGTTACTAAGTGCAGCAACACTGAGCAGGACACTCCACCTTGTACTTTTCTCCTGTTTATCTCTAGCTGATACCATTAGATTTCCTGTTGAATATTCATCAAATGCCAAGTCTACTCTGTGAAATTTGTCTAACTGCGATTCCAAGTAAGGCTAAATATTTGCTCACTGTACTCTTGGATGGTCTTTGTTGTACTTGGCTTTCTCATCTGCGCTAGTGCTAACATTGGGGAGCACTGTCTTTTGCATTAATGAGGTTTTCCAAGAAGGTAAGTAAGTAAGTCTTACATGCTAAACTTGATCTTTCCAGAATCTGACAGAAAGGGTGGATAATTCTGATTCTCATGAGAGAAAAAGTCACCACTGAAGTTTTGGCACCTTATATGCAATCTTACAAAAAAGCTTGCTATCATTGTTTGTGGCTGTAAAATTCACGTTATAGTGGGATTTTACTTTCTGTGGATGTTCCTTTAGATATGGCAACTTATTACAAGGGATAACATCCTTAGCAATCAATTAGTCAATCAATCTCTTTTGTACAAAATTCATATGCTGCACTTTGTTTAGTGTTTTGTACTGTTGAAGGTTTCTTATTTAATTTCTTGTGAACGTTATGAGATCTCCTTGTTACATAAACCAAATGGTATTACATAAAAATCATATAATCCATCTTAAGTGCTAAAAGTAATTTTAGTTATTGTTACATTGTACACTTCAGATTGCCAGTATATGGAAAACAGGTCAAATGTGCTGACAAGCCCCTTCCAACGGAATGGAATATTAATCTGTCTTTAATATCAGAAATACATTACATGTGTATTTCTGCATTTACTCACCTGAAATAAACACATAACCTTGATGTATCTTATAACCCAGTGGCAGTCAGAAACTTCTGTTTCTCTTAACCCCATTTCGTGGTCAATTGGTAGGGACTTTCAGAAAAAGATAATTATTTTAACTTAATTTCGTGAAGATTTAAACTTGTCACGTGCCGGAATGCCTCAAGCCTTGCAGAAAATCAATAGGAGAGAAGGTGAGAAAATATTACACGAAGAGACGGTAGGGTGCCAGATATGCTACCCTACCAGCACTCCAGTGTTACACCATCCTATTAATAAACTATTGAGTGAGGTTTGAACTTTCCATGCTGCAAGTAGAGGCTCGCATGACCCCGCTCCAGACTGCGATGTCGTCGGTATACTGAGATGCATGTATGGAAGGGTGGTGATTCATTTCTCTCATTAATAATTCATTATTGGTAGTTCTCTCGGTATAGAATTTTAACGAGGCCAAGCTTCGACAGATTACTGGAGGTGTTCAGGAGCTTTGTGCTTCTCTTCAACCCGCTTTTGATGTATGTAAAGTCTTAATTTTAAATTAGAGATTATGGCACACGAGATGTAACGTTCTTTATGAAATGGCATTTGTAGAACTTATGGTCCTTCAGGGCTGCGGGGGATCAAAAATCCAATGCCTAGAATTACATGCGAGGGGAAACGGGAGTGCCCCGTAGTTGATTATTTTCTCTTTATCCATGGTGGGAATTTAGTGAATATATTTTTCGTTCCCCAAAGGGGACTGAAATATTAGGTCATCAAAAAATTAATGTTTTTTTTTTTTTTT